TCTAGCAGCGCTGTAGATACTGCAAAATTAGCTAGCATAGAAGGCCTAGATAGCAAGGATAACTCTACCTTCTCTAGTAGTATTCTAAAGTTGTTATTGTTAAGGCATGTTGTGTTAGGGTAAAAGGTGGTCATACTAAGAGAAAGTGGCTAGTTTGGTGATATGGCTAGCTTGGTGATAATCTACGTTAATCATTTTCTATATAGACCCTATATAATTTGCTAGGCCTTATAAATTATATAGATCCTGAATTAGGTTGAATTTTAATGCAACTGCATAACTAGGTGCAAAACAACTCTGCACACATTTTACACTCTTTAGGATAGCTATGCAACTACTAACATAGATTATCACTAAGCTAGCTATATCACTAAACTAGCTACTTTCTCTTAGCATAACTACCTTTTACCCTAATATATTATACTTAAACAATAATAACTTTAGAATACTACTAGAGAAGGTAGATTTGTCCTTACTATCTAGGCCTTCTATGCTAGCTAATTTTGCAGTATCTATAGTACTGCTAGAGAATTAAATATACCTTATTAGTAGGTCTCTAATTGCCTTTGTAATATTGCGTTTTAACTAGATATATATACTAATTGCAAGAAACTTACTGTAACAGAGTAGGCGCCCTGCCCTTAAAATCAATACTACGTGACTTCTCTGCCTATACCAAAAGGTAAGCACAAGAATATTTAAGCAAGTATTCGTTGCGTAGTATAATATATATAGACAATAATAGTGCTAGCCAGCTAGCTTTGCCTCTAGCTGCTATGAGCGCTATGCCACGTGTCGTGTTCGTGCATAGTCGTTACACTTACTATACTAGAGGAGCAGATAATTATCTAGTATAACCTGTTTTATCAGTGAGCGCCCCACCTCAGTGAGCGCCCCACGAACACCAGCGAGGCGTACGCGCAGCGACGTAGCTTAGCACCACAACACAAATTTTGTACTCTTGCAACAGTATAGTATTATTTAGAAGCGTCGCTGTTATTTATATCCTTAATTTCTACCTTGCAGGTGCGAGAGTTGTGCCTAATCTCACTGCAACAGCCGCAGCGTCGCCCTGCGCGCACCCTCTTCGCTAGCTCCTTACCCTCCTCACATCTGCCACCCTCCCTTTTAGCAATTAAGTCTGATACCTTGCTAACTATTAATGTCTCCTCTGCCTGTACGTAGCGTCTCTTGCGACTTTTACACTTTATTGCTACTTTAGTAGCAGTATTAAGGCGCACTATCTCTGCGCGCATTAACACCATCTTATAAGCTATCTGCTGCGCGCCTTTTGTTAGCTGCCGCACCTGCTCATTAAGTGAACTTGCTGGAGACCCTTAATGGATTTTTATCCTGTTTTAAACTAGTGTTGATTGCGCCTCTATTTCTTTAGCGTTGCGTGGTGTTTTCGCCTCCTAAGTAGCGTTGACTTGCTGTGGTGGAGTTTGCGTACGCAGCTGCACATCTAGCTTCGATAACACAGCCTGTAGATTATGTAGAGACAATCTAGCGCCTTAAAACCCTGCGCAAGCATTCTCTCTTGTAAACGCCTTCTTAAAAGCTACTTTAAAGGCTGGTAAGAAGGTCTGTTTGCTGATGTGGTTAATGCAATTGCGTGCTAAGGCTGAGATCTAATCACTATACGCGCGCTTTAATGGCGAGAAACAGGCGACGTTAAGCGGCTGCAGGAGGTGCGACGAGTGTGGAGGCATACAGAGGGCAATAATCTTCTTCTCCTTGCAGCAATCCTGGAAATCTATTAAGCAATAGCTCTTGTGGCTGTTAATAATCAGCAGCCTATACGCTCCTACAGGCCTCACATGCATATTAAAGTAATCAAGCTAGGCAAGCGCTAGATTGTTGTTTGTCCAGCCTGTTAGGCTTACTTAAATAACCTAATTGCGTGGGAGGTCCTTAGTAAACTAGTTAGAGATAAGAACCTTGCTAGCAAAGATAAGGAAGGGTGGGATAACACGCCCTGTTGCGCTAACGCCCTATATTAACGTAGTCTACTTGCGATCACTAGGCTAAAGCTTCTTTGCTTTCCTAGGTTTCTCTATGCCTGTTACAATAAGTTGTGAAGATATCTTGCCTATTAGGAAGCTAGACTTGTTAAAGTTGTACATG